CATTGAGATCAGATCCAGAGAATCAAACTATGGAGAGAGGAACACAGGCAGACATGATAATAACTGAACATGAACAAAATTTATATAACTTAATAAAATCTCGATGCCCTAGATATCGGTAATGAAAAAAAAAATCCCTCAAATATGCTACAACAGCAGGGAGACAAAACTGCTCAGGGACTCTGGGGCCTCCCAGGTTCTGGGACGCAGGGCTTCACAGGGAAACACAAGGCATAGAGACTGAAATTCCCAGGGTCTGGCAGACTCCATTGCTGGATTGTATCTAGACCTCTGGGCGCAAGGCAGCAATTACCAGATGCTGTTGTCCTTCCTTCCACACTCCAGCTCAAGCACTGCAGGGATAAACGTTTAAGGGCTACACACAGGTTACTCTGATGAAAATGCAGTTAAGGACAAACAGAAACCATTCATAAGTCAGTGTATCCTTGCCAGAAGTTGCTCCCTTTATTTTTAGAATGTACATGAAGGTAGGACAGCCGGAGTGGAGACTGCGTGTGAAGTGGCGTGCCTCCCACCTGCCAACTGTGTGAAGAGAGTGAGTTGCCTCAAGTCTAAGTCCTCTGTTTCCTGAAGAGTAAGCAAGTCACTCATGGATCACATTTAGATTGGACTGTAGCAGACACTTAACACTAAGAGCTAGCCCCCTCCTCTGCTGTGGCTCTAACAGGAATGTGGTTCTACGCATATACCCCAGGAGGTTTCAGCGCAGAATTCTACCAGACCTTCAAAGAAGAGCTGATACCAATTCCCCTCAAACTACTCCACAAAATAGAAACTGAAGGAACATTGTCAAACTCATTCTATGAAGTTAGAGTCACCTTGATACCTAGACCACACATAGATTCAATCAAGGAAAGGAATCTCAGATCAATCTCCCTTATGAATATTGATTCAAAAATACTCAATAAAATACTTGCAAACTGAATCCAAGAACACATCAAATACATCATCCACCATGATCAAGAAGGCTTCATCCCAGGCATGCAATGGTGGTTCAATATATGGAAATCCATCAATGTAATCCACCATATTAACAAACTGAAAGGGAAAAAAAAATCACATGGTCATCTCATTAGATGCAGAAAAAGCCTTTGAGAGAATTCACCACCTCTTCATGATAAAAGTAAGTCTTGGAGAGATCAGGGATAGAAGGCCCATACCTAAACATAAGAAAAGGCAATATACAGCAAGCCAATAACTAACATCAGATTAATTGGAGAGAAACTTAAAGCAGTCTCACTAAAATCATGGACAAGGCTGCCCATTCTCTTCATACCTATTTAACACAGTACTTGAAGTCCTAGCTAGAGCAACAAGACAACAAAAGGAGATCAAGATACAAATTGGAAAGGAAGAAGTAAAAGTATCGCTACTCACAGATAATATGATAGTTAGTATACATAAGTGACCCTAAAATTCTACCAGAGAACTTCTACAGCTGATAAACACCTTCAGCAAAGTGGATGGATACAAAATTAATTCAAAACATCAGTAGCCCTCCTTTATACAAAGAATAAATGGGCTGAGAAAGAAATTAGGGAAACAACACCCTTTACAATAGTCACAAATAATATAAAATATCTTGGTGTAACTCTAACCAAACAAGCAAAAGACCCATATGACATGAACTTCAAGTCTCTAAAGAAAGAAATGGCAGAAGATATCACAAGATGGAAAGATGTCCCATATTCATGGATCGGTAGGATTAACATAGTAAAGATGGCCATCTTACCAGAAGTTGAGCTCTAATGTCAACTTAAGTTTCTTTAGATGTACAGATTTTAGTAGGTTTATTCTATATTATATGTCTATATGAGTGAGTATATACTGTGTGTGTCTTTCTGCTTCTGGGACAGCTCACTCAGGATGATCCTTTCCAGGTCCTACCATTTACCTGCAAATTTCATGATTTCCTTATTTTTCATTGCTGAGTAATACTCCATTGTATAGATGAACCACAATTTCTGCATCCATTCTTCAGTTAAGGGGCATCTGGGCTGTTTCCAGCTTCTGGCTATTCCAAATAAAGCTGCTACAAACATGGTTGAGCAAATGTCCTTATTGTGTACTTGAGCCTCTTTTGGATATATGCCTAGGAGTGGTATGGCTGGGTCTTGAGGAAGTGCTATGTACATCTAAAGAAACTAATCAAGAGAGAGGACCCTGACTAAAATGCTCAATCCCCATCCTGAAAAGATGATGGGGATTGAGCAAAGAGGATGGACATCAGAAGAAGGGAAAACAGGAAACCTAGAAACCTGTGCAGAGGGCCTCTAAAAAGCTCTGCCCTGCAAACTATCAAAGCAGACGCTGAGACTTATGGCCAACTGTTGGGCAGAGTGCATGGAATCTTATGTAAGAAGTGGGAAATAGTAAGATCTGGAGAGGACAGGAACTCCACAAGGAGAGCAACAGAACCAGAAAATTTGAACACAGGGATATTCCCAGAGACCCATACTCCAACCAAGTACCAGGCATGGAGATAACCTAGAACCCCTGCACAGATATAGCCCATGATAGTTTAGTGTCCAAGTGGGTTACATAGTAATGGGAAGAGGGACTGCCTCTGACATAATTTGATTGGCCTGCTCTTTGATCACCTCCCCCTGAGTGGGGAGCAGCCTTACCAGGCCACAGAAGATACAATACAGCCACTCCTGATGAGATCTGATAAACTAAGATCAGAAGGAAGGAGAGGGGGACCTCCCCTATCAGTGGACTTGGGGAGGGCCATGCGTGAAGAAAGGGGAGGGAAGGTAGGATTAGGAGGGGAGGAGGGAGGGGTTTATGGGGGGATATAAAGTGAATAAAGTGTAATTAATAAAAGTTAAAAAAAATAGAACTTGAGTTTCACACTGCAGCCATGGCAGTTAATTCCTTCATGCTTCTGTTTTGTTTTGTTTCATATCTAAAACATGAACACAGGGCAGCCGCCTCTTCCATACCCATCAGACCTACCCGCATCTATCATCGAATACCTAGTACACAGCAAAGCATGATGTAGGACCCACACACCAAGACCAGCATGCATGTCTGCTTTTGGCCAGCAGAGAGCGGCTGATAGGGAGTGTTCAGGGCTTGCAGGCACTTCCTAAGCCCTCAGGAGAACCAACAAAGGACTCTGATGGACCGAATCAAAGAAAAAGGACAATTGTGAGGGAGGGAAAAAAAGTTTCTGACATTTTATAGTGTGTTAATTTGAGCAAAGCAGAAGCTGGATGAAGTAGAAAATGACTGCAGGAATTGGGAGGGTAAGGCAGAAGAGCCACAAGCTCAAGACCAGCCTGGGCTACACAGAGAGACCCTACCTGCCTCTATGAATGACTCTACTACTATTTATTATTTTTTACTTATTATTTATTTATTATCGTTATTATACATTATTGTTTGGGTTACTGAGGGCTGAATCCGAAAATTTTATGTTAGACGAGAGAGCTACTATGTCCATCCTTCCTTTTCTTTCCTTTCGGGGTTTTCGTTCTCTGAGACAGGGTCTTGCTAAGTTGGCCTCCAATTCACTCTGCGTTTCACACAGATCTTGAACTTTCAATCCTCCTGGCTTAGCCTCCAGAGTAGTTAGGATACTGTGCCACAGTAGCAGCTTGAGGAATCTTTTAAGAGTGCTTCTTTGAACAATACTCTCAAGTCCCTGGAAGCCATATCCACCCAGTTTCCAATACCTCACTGTGGCACAGGGTGGGCGAGATGACAGGAAATAGATTATTGGTGTCTCTTTGACTTCCTGCTAGTAATAACAAAGACCTTATCCCATTAGAACTGGGCTCCACAGCTTTTTATTCTAATTGGTTGTGGTTTTCTGTTGTGATCTCCATCTGCTGTAAAGAGAAGTTTCCTCGATGAGGCGCAAAGACTACATTTACCTATGGGTATAAGGGCAAATGTGTATAGGAGGTTGTCAGGAATTATGCTGGTTTAGTAGTTAGTTAAGTTTCTGAACATATCTATAAAACACTCATGCATATTAGGCTCAGGCAACATTGCAGAAGAGGGGGCAGAAAGACTTTAAGAGCCAGTGGATCAAGAAGTTGGCTATGACAGTGTGTCTCCTAGTAATATCAGAAGCTTTACCCATACAGTCTCACCAACATGACTGCCCAAACATAAACTGAACGAGATGACAACAATGGTCATGCCAAGGTAGACAGAGGAAAGTTCATGAGCCCTCAACCCCACCCAAAGAACTATTGACAACCAAAGAAAGCTGGGAGCAGGAGACATGGTCTTCCCCAAGGAAAGGCATAGCAACTAGCTCTCTAGTGCCAAATGTCAACCCTGAAAACATACATGCAAGTAACATTATATAGACTGAAGATGTTATATTTAGGAACATACATACACACACACACACACACATGCAATAACAATTTGTAAAAAGGAGAAGTCACAAATTTGAAGGGGAGTGGAGAGGTTTTGAGGGATAGCAGGGAGAAATGTTGTAATTATATTATAATCTCTAAAATAAAATAAAAGGCCTTATCCCAAAGCCTCTTAGTGTTGAGAACGTGTAATTTCAATCATCTCATGTGATTTGGCCATGGGAAGGGCAGAGTAAGTTGTTCTCCTTTTGATCCTTCAGTTAACACCAAGGCTTTAGGATATCTGTACAATAATAACAGACAATCTCTCACATGAAATGAAAGAAGGAGCTTTGCCTTCGCAGGACAGCCTGTATGCCTATAAAAAGAACCACGTCTGCCAGCGTGTTTTCCTCTGTTACCATCAGCTGGCACCGAATAACTATGACCTAATATTTATATTTAAAATCTCATAGAAATGATAATGGAAAGTCAACACTTTCTTGAAACAGTATTAAATACAGTGAAACATTTGCTATTTTTAGAACATGCTATACCATTATTAAAATTAAAAAATTTCTGAATATTTTATTTATATAGTATTACAATATAAAACACATAAATTCATTATTTAAAACCTTGTATTTAGCTCATAATTGGCCTAGATTTGTTACAAATTGACTTCAATAGTTCATAAAAATAATTCTGATTTTTGCATGTATGGAGAAAAATACCTTAAAAATTAATATTTAAAAAAATGAATGAAACCACAGTTCAATGCAAATTATCTACCACAAAGGAATACTAAGAACAGTCATTTCTTAAAGTTTCAATTAGATAATAAATTACATCTTAAATATCTTCATGTACAAACTCTAATTCTGATAACCTATAAATCATAAAGTATAACAATCAGTGGAATTCAACAATTTATCTAAACATTGTTACATAGGAAATTTGAAGAAACTGTAAGTAATTCTTAATGCTCTCGTTTTGATTCTCTGACTTCTCAAGACTGTGCTGTAGTTCTTTCAAACATAAATCCTGATGCTGGGCTTTCTGAATGAAGAGAGAAACAGAAAATCAATATGGCACTCATATGGGAGATGAAGAATTATAAGCATATATGCAATTGCTGAGTGAATCAATTTTTTCCAAAGAATTTGTAAATATTATCTTCCTTAAACAATATCTTTAGACACTCCACCAAGGACTGTGTATGGATATAACCTAGAACCTTTGCTCGGATGAAGCCCGTGGTAGCTCAGTAACCAATTGGTTTCCCATAGTAAGGGGAACAGGGACTATTTCTGACAGGAACTCAATGGCAGGCTCTTTGACCCTCCCCCCCACTCCCCAAGGGAGGAGCAGTCCTGCTAGGCCACAGAGGAGGACTCTGGAGATACCTGATAAAACAGGGTCAGATGAAAGGGAAGGAGGTCCTCCCCAATAAGTGGACTTGGAAAGGGGCAGGGAGGAGATGAGGGAGGAAGGGAGGGTGGGATTGGGAGGGAATAAAGGAGCAGGATACACCTGGGATACAGAGTTAATAAAATGTAACTAATAATAAAAAAATAAAATTAAATTAAAAAAACAATATCTTTAGTGATTAAAGCATATATAGTTGATCATTCTACTTTGATGTTTTACTGTAATACTTCAATTTAGCTCTAAATATTTCAGATTTAACGTGATTAAGATGATTTTTTATTTAGAGCAATCATTATTAGTTCCTATTATGTTTATCATAACATCCTATCATATTCTTTTTAACCATTATTTGCCAAAAAAGTTTTATCCTATAAGATCTTCAGTGTTTTAAACTTTTTATTTTATAACTTTACTATTAAAAAACCTTGTAAATAAAAAACAGCAAAATTAACTAGACCCAAAGTTTATACAGTTCAATAACCTACTGTACCATTAGAATTCATATTCTGAAAGAAAGATGTTTTAAGAACCGATAGAATTCTAGCTTTGATAAGATTAACATTTTCTCCTAAAGTCTTTAAAAAAGTAAAAAGAATTTAATTCATGTGCTTTGAAGAAGTTTTAAACTCATATACAATTTTTGAACTTTGGTTGTTACGGATTTCTAGGTGGGCTGCTTATGGTAAAAGCTTTAGGTAAGATGTGCTTCCAGCTAAAACCTAAGCACTAAGAATGGAGACCCTTTGTGTTTCTCATAGCAGATACTCTGACAGACGCACCTGAACCTGAGCAGTGACCAGCATGAGAAGCAGGGTAGTGTGTAGCCAAGCGCTACACTGGACTTCACAAGACACAGAACAAAAGGAGCTGGTCTTTATGGAGCATCAGTTTGGAAAGAACAGTAGCCACAGTCACACACTGCAGGGCAGAATGTAAATGCAAATGAACTTTAGGACAATAAGGTCTGAAAGACACTGTGACTTTACTACAGGCTTGCTATGGTTGTGGAGTAATGAGGTCACCCTTCAAACTGCATTCACCCTACCACTCAACCAAAGTATTTGGACAAAAACCACGAAAAGGTCTGCAGCATATGGCCGGGCTCTGGCTCTGGCTCTGTCACTGGCCCTCTGAGCACTTACAAATCCTGGCTAATGGATGTGCATGTGATTACCCACTGAGCTGTCTGTGCCCTGGAAGGTAGAGAACACATTAACACATTTCTAGCTATTTCTAAACTTGGGCTCAAAATTCTAGACTGTTTACTAGCACAACAATTATCAGGCTTAACATCAGATCTTAATATGTTAATTTCAGTAGCTTTAGCAAACTATTAAACATAGAAGAGAGAAATCCACCTCATCTCACTTTATTTTTCAGAGGCGTCAACTGCACAAAGAACATCACACATATTTTATATCTGAAATCCTGATGGGGAGTTTGTTTGTTTGCTTGTTTGTTTTTAAGTTTAGAAACCAAGCAAATAGCTGTATTAAATTAAAACTTTTTTTTAATTAAAAAAAACTTTCATTAAACTTTTGAAGGCAATAAGAATACACATGTATATCAAAATAACTCAACTTTTGAATCTTTTATGTTTACAAATTTTTAAGAGACTTGGAAATGTAAAAGGAGTTTTCACAGAGTATCCACCTCCTGGAAAGATAAAGTACCAGCATTTTCTATGGAATTATCAAGTAGACAGCTACTAAGTGATTAAGGCACAACTAATGCCAGCTTCAAGATTATTTTATGCCACTAGATTGTTTCATAAATATTCAGAAAAAAATACAAGAGACTAATTAAACAAAATATACAAGAGACTAATTTGGTATTCTCATTTCATGGCTGAGTGGGTCAAAGCATTTGTCTCTTATGCAGATTGGACAATGGTGAATATTAAAACCATATCTTCTAAGATATAATATTCATTAATCAAGGCAGATATAAAAATAATGTTTAAATTGCAGGTATCTTTAAAAGATGAAAATTCAAGTAAATAAAATTTAAATAGAAAATTAGGTAGCTTCCACATGGGGCCTTCAGCAAGCTGCCGTTATCAGGAAACCTGATGAGACTCCGAGGCAGTGGGACTGCAGCAGCACAGAGCACGGGGCTGAGAGGCCTGGCATGATCATGACAGCACAGTTTTGCATTTTTATTGTTTGTCACTCCTAATATTAGCAGAACAAAAGCCTTGACTCACCTCCATCTGTACTTAAAGAATGGAACTAAGCTACATGGATACATTTAATGCATGTTAAATGTTCATTTTTATAATACTTACACTGTTCATTGTGCCAACAAGTTGGTTTTGTTCTTCATTTTTCTTTCTAAGCTCAGTCTCTAGATCTAGTATTTTAATTTGTAATGCTCTCTCTCTAGATGACATTTTCTCTACTTCTTCGGAAACCTGTAATTCTCATTAAGAGGATAAAATAAGTAAATGAACTTTCCTTAAAATATATTTTGAAGTCCTGATATAATCATAGTATACTTCTTTCCCAAGTAGATATTAGTCAGGCAGAGCCAAAACACCTGGACCCAAGGGGTCTTGCAGAGACTGATACTCCAACCAAGGATCAAGCATGAAGAGGACCTAGACCCCCTGCTCAGAGGAAGCCCATTGGCTGCTCAATTTCCAAGTGGGTACCCTAGTAAGGGGAGCAGGGGCTGTCTCTGACATGAACTCAGTGGCTGGCTCTTTGATCACCTCTCCCTGGGGGTGGGGGTGCAGCCTTGCCAGGCCACAGAGAAAGGTGATGCAGCCAGTGCTGATGAGACCTGATAAGCTAGGGTCAGATAGAAGGGGAGAAGGACCTCTCCTATCAGTGGACTAGGGGAGGGGCACAGGGGAAGAAAAGGGAGGGTGGGTGAGACTAGGAGGAGACAAGGGAGGGGGCTACAGCAAGGATACAAAGTGAATAAATTGTAATAAATAAATAAGGTATTAGTTGGGTATTAGACAATTCCATTAGAAAATATTTCACTGTATTTTATCTTGAGTTGGGACATAGCTCCATTAGTAGAGTGATTCTGTAGCATGAACAAGGCCCTATGTTCAATCCCAGTACTGCAAAGGGATAAATGAGCCTAATTTGAAGAAGCACATATGCTATTTACATGTACATATATGATAAGCATCTGGAAAACTAACCCTGAGATGGAGAGGTGTCTGTAGTATTTATATACACTGGTATCTGGATAGTGGTGGAACATAGCTAGATCTCACTGAACACTGATTACATATCCAGATAGACAGTGGAGGGGCGGTGACCACACAGCACCTAGACATGCACATGACACTGGCACGGCATCATTTACTGAATGTGAGTTGCCTATTTCTCTTGGTTGCTGTGTGGCGTTGGTTTGGAGCACAAGCCTGAGAGCAGAGGTGGAGGCTAGTGTAAGAACAAAGAGCTACGTGGGAGGGACTGCTCTGACAGAACTCGGAGGACTCAGCTCTAAGTTACTATGCACCAATCACAGGCCAGGACAGCAGTGAGCTCTGAAGCCAGGAAGGAAGGAGAAAGCCACAGGAAATACCCATCCCCTCAGTGTGGACAAGGGTAACAAGACAATGATGGCCCTCATTAGGTGTTCAGAAATGAGAGACATCGCCTGTAGACACTGTAGAAGAGAGGAAAGGGCAGACACCTGCGGACTCTGACCACTGGGGAAGAAGTCTGAGAGCGCCTGGCATTGTCAAGGTCTTATGCTGAGCTCAAGGTAAAACATTCTCATTTCCTTTCAGAGGTTGTTGGGGTGGAGAAATATGCAGTTTGTCTACAACTGGCACTACTCTTTATTATTTAGCTTTTATTCAATGATGTGCCTCTTAAAATCATCTTAAACTGGTTTCTCAGATGCTAAGAAAATTCAAATCACTCTTAGATATCAGTTTAGCCTTGACAGAACTGACACTAAGAACTTTGAGGAATACAATAAATAAAAGAGAGTTTGAAGGGAAATATTCAAAGTTTGGCTTAAGACATGACAGGTTTGGCTGGTCAGTGTTAGGTGGAGATGCCAGTGGTGAGCAAGGGCCTCCTCAGGGTAGAGATGGCCACTGTGTCAGCCCCACTCATCCTACAAGGAAGATCACGAGCCCCATTTTGCTGAGGGAAACTAAAGTTTAGAAAGGCAGGCTGCCCTTGTCGAGGGTAGCTTGCATCAGAGCCAAGATCCAGATCAGCTTCTGGGACTCCAAAGCTCACCCTATGGTCTTTCAATGTGAGATTTCAAATTGCTTGATAAATTCATCTCTTCTTTGAGATCTTCCCATCACTCCTTTTCACCCACTTTTTCTGGTGTCAACTGAACCCACTTTTACTACAGAAGCTGCATGTTGGATGAACTCTACTACACTGAGTGCCCAGGAGCTCATGTCTACCTTTTCATTTTTGCTTGTGAAGCACAATCAAAGTGCCCACATGTCAAAAGGCTCGTTAATTTGAATATGAACTTAATAGATTTAACTGGAATAAATTCCAGGATGCATCTGTTTGTGTAATAAATATTTGTTACAGAGAAGTTGGGCTTTAGAGCTCCCCGGATCCCATCAAGAGCAAAACCTTTAATTATTTATTCAACTACACACACACACACACACACACACACACACACACACACACACGTGTGCACACTCACACACACAGGCACGCTCACACATGTATACACACAGAAACATGCACACATGTGTACACACACATACACAAACATGCATACGTGCACGCATGCACACACAGGCACGGGCGTGCACACACGCACAACAGCTGTGTGAAGGGGTCACACTCTCGAGTCCTTCCCTTTCTGCCTGCCACATCACCATGCATCTGGAAAAGCAGTCCTGGTCTAGTACTGTCTCTGCGCTTTGCTCTGAGGGAAAATTAAGTAAAGAACAAAAATGGAGCTACTCCCTCCACCCTGTCATCAGCATAAAAACAATAACTGTAGGCTTGGCAAGAGGAAGTGACTCTGGCAAACTAATTAAAATGCTTCTAAATAAAGGCCATCTGTACCTTTTGTCTTCCTTCTTCCAAAGCAGCTTCCAGTTGCCTAGACAGTGCTGTGTACTCTGCAGCCTTCTCTTTCAGCTCCAGGTCACTGTGCTTGAGAAACTCCTCTTGGTCTGCCAGCTTCTTCTCAAGTTCTTTATTCTCTGCATCCATCTGTCCTAATTTTCTTTTTGAAGATAGATATAGATATATAACTATATGTGTGAGTGTATTTATACACATATATCACATGTAGACAGACATACACACATACATAAATTATGGTGCAAGGGAAATGCAGCAGCAGTTGTAAGTCAACTTGGCACTTACTCTTTAAGGTTTTCACACTTTAACTGAATGAGGTAATTTTCCTCCTCAAGAGAAAGCTTGGCTATAAGGCTATCGTTTCCATCAACCTAAGTGGGAAACAAAACAAAATAAAATCAAACAACAACAACAAAAGACCCACGCTTTTTCAGTTATTTTCTTTATCACCTTCCAAGAAAATTACATATTTTACTTAGAAGCATAAGAAACAAGCTATGGATACACAAAAAGACACCAAACCATGCTTACAACACCGCACACAAGGTCTCCAAGCCCTCACTGACTTTTAAAAATTTATGTTGTCTATGTTAGAAAATTAAGTTCATTTTTCTGGGTGATGGTAATTAAAATATACTGAACAATGTTTTAGTGAAGAGAGACATTTGGTTTTTCAGCCTCAGCTGGCAACAGCTTTCCCAGTATGTCTAATCCCAGCACTACAGAAAGCCAGGCATGGTGGCTCGTGCTGCAGTCCCAGCTCAGGAAGTAGAGGAAAGAGGACCAGAAATCCAAGTCCATCCTCAGAGCAAGGCCAGTCGGGGCTGCATGAAACTCTGCCTCAAAAGCAAACCCAACAATAAGAACAAAACCAAAAGGAAAAACTGTGCATGAAAACTTTAAACACTGTTCATTAGATAGTTAAGGTTTCTCATCTCAATAATGTTCCACTTAGACTACTGATAATCACCTGTGAAGATGTTGCAAGTGAAAGCCAAAAAATCAAGCTACAGTGGCTCAAATCAAGAGACTATTCTTCCCAATGCTTCACAGTCTGACGTAGAGTTTAAATACTTTTAATAGTAATAAAAATATTTTTTCTATCAGGGCTAGAAAGGTTACAAGCACTGGCTGCCCTTCCAGAGGGCCCAGGTTAAATTCTCAAAACCCGTGTGGTGGTTCACAACCATCCCATAACTCCAGTCCTAGGGAGTATGATGCCCTCCTCTGGCCACTTTGAACACTACATGCATGAGGAGCACAGACATGCAGACAAAACACCCATACACATAAAATAAAAAATAATTTTTCTCATACTTATTAAAGTAGTAACTTAAGTAAAATATAATGGTTTTTTTTCTAGAAGAATTTCTTCTTGGAATTAACTTTGTGTTTTTAAAAGTGGAATACATTTTTTTTTTTTTTTAGAAGCCACAAAGTAAATTCTTCCTGGAAGTGTCTTGCAAGTAAAGAAACAGATTGGCTATCAGACTGAGACAACATGAAGTAATCATAAACCACGTACTGAGTGCTGTCTGTGATATGCACTGACGGAGGAGGGAAATGTGGTGAAGAGGGGACACACACGGTCCCTTTTCTGATTGATAGGTAGTAATTAAAAGGATAGAATTAATCCCAATAAGCTTGATGCACAATTCTAAATGCACTCTAATTTTTGCAGGGTAAACAAACTATTATTTGTCTTATGCTAATGGCAAGAACCAGACAGGCAAGGCCAGCTTTGCTGCCCCTCTCATTACATCACCACACTAGGTCCTCCGGCTGCAAATGCAGACTCGTAAATAACCTACTCTATTACCCGTGTCACCAGGAAATATGAAGGGATAAAAATGAAAGAATCTGCATGAAAATATTTTAGCAACTGATATAGATAAGGAGAAAAAGTTCAACCCAACACGAGTTCCCTCAACTGGTGAAATGATGTCAAATGTTCCTTAAAGACGTCTTCCAGCCTCAGAAGGACGGGACACCTGGCCCACACCTGGCCCTGAAGCTCCCTAACGGTGTGCGCCTGCTCTGCACACTTGTCCTTGCAGAGCTGCAGACTCTCCTGACACTCGTGAAGCCTCTGCTCGGCTGACGTGAAGGCGTTGCGGGCTCGCTCTACCTGCTTCAAGTGAGACTCCACCTGGCCTCTCATCTGAGGTGGCAGTAGGGAAACAAATGCAAGGTCACATATTGGCAGCAATGATCTTACTGTCTTACAGACTAGACATGCTTGTTAATAATTAGTACATTACGAATGTTAATTTATGGGAGACACAACTAAAATTAATTAGTTTTCAAATAGGTATCAGGCAAATTGGCATGGTGCTATCAGCCTACTTGAGGGGCTCCACACAGGCAGACGTGACTAAGGAGTTGCTGTGATTCTTTCCCACTGGCTCATCGTCAGCTCCAGTGGCTGTGACTTTACTGCACCTTACTTAGGACTCGCATGTGCCCTTTCAACCTTCTTGGCCAAAATGAGCGGAGTTCAGTGAGCACTGCTTCATGACAGCTAGTGTATCGGGTCTCAGTATATGACATTATCCAATTATGGTGAGCAAATCTAAGTTCACCCCAGGGATGTCCTCACCTTCTGCCCTTTCTCACTATAGCAGGTCTATAAATTATGGAATAGAGTGACATTTTGCAACCTAAGGAATGCCATACTACTGTGCGCAGCTGTAAACAGCTAAAATGTGACATTTAGGATGCTCCCATGGAGGAAACGCAAGAGGGATAACTTCCTTAGTTGAAACACCCACAGTTTCGGTGCAACGTCTGGCCAAGTTGAAGACAAAGGATAAAGCGAGGCTGAAGCACACCTCTGAACCCTAAAACAGCTAAGAACCCATGAGAAAATCAAAGAACTCAAGCAACAAAGAAATAAAAGAATTTCTTTTTTCAAAAACACATATTTTTCACTTCTATCAGCAGAAAACACTATAATGACAGTAGCTGGAAAGCCAGGTTCCTCCCCTCTCTGGCTTTGAATGGGATTTTAATTGGGGTTTTACTGAGTTCCCTAGCAGGAGAGGAATACCTGCATGAGACAACCATGAGAAATAGAAAAGAGACATGAAATGGCATCCTCTATGGTCTGCTCTAAGAAAGGATCAGGTTCCTCATTTGGTGGCCTGATGGCCTGCTCTTGCTAGCCTTGTCTTGACAGTGACACCTCTCTCTTAAATCCCGATCTCAGATGGTCCAGCAATCCAGCAACAGTGGCCATAGACTCTGCGCCTGACCACTAATGCTCTTGACCTCTCAGCCAGAAATCAAGTGTCCTGGACTCTTGCTGCTTCCTTACCAAAACAATGTGAAATCCAAAAGGGAGTGTGGTTCCATCTAAAACTTTAAAAGTATTCACAAAAACATCATCACCTGCCAAAACCGGCTTCTCCTTGTTCTGTCGCAATGGGATGAATAAAAGGAGAGGGTTTGCAAGATATCATTTTCTTCCCAAAATGCATTTACCAGAGAATATTTACTTCGTAATTCTTTTAGACACAAAAGATGTAAAAATAGAAAGAGAGAGACTGGTTTGCATTTTACTGCTGATAGATCCCAGTGATAAACAATTGGGTCTTTTTACTTTTAAACCTGTGTCAGAAAAATAAGGCACTTATGCTATTTCTCAATTTTGAAAAACAGAAAGTAAAAAGATATTCACACAAATAAACAACATTTCAAGTCTGGGGGTACAGTGTATTTTCAAGGGGAAAAGAGACTGTGTGATGCCTACGAAGAAGGCAGCCATATGACAGTTTGGTCTATCGGTGTACACATGTGAAATACTTCACTATTTCCATTTCAAACTTACCTTCTCTAACTTTTTGTTTTTGTTTTTTATTATTAGGTTATTTTCATGTAGCAAATTTTTACATCTGCTTTTTACCATTTCAGCTGCTTCTTGTAACTTTTGTACCTAAAAAAAAGAAAAATCAAACTATAAAGTACCATGTATGATTTTAAGCTTGTATTTTAAAGACATCATAATTTCTCTTCCAACACTCAGCATGTTTATGTAACATTACCCCTGACACTATTTTTGGTGTCCAACTCTAACTCATCCCTTCGTTATCCACTTGTCTTCTCCCATGGCTGCTCTTCTACTCTTTACCTGAGCTCTAAAGATAACATCAATCTTCACTTTCATGTCATTGCTACTTTAAGAAGGTAGCCTCTCATTTCATGTAACACCTGCCATACAGTTAACAAAAATGAAACAAGTGACAGCTCACACAGATGAGGATGTGGCGCACCGGAACACTGATCCATTGCTTCTGAGAGTGCAAACTTGTACAGCCACTATGAAAATGAGTGTGTCAGTTCCCACGGAAGATAGAAATCAATCTGCCTTGAGACCCAGCTACATCCTTTTTGGGCTTATACCAACAGGATGCTCCATCCTACCACAGAGACACCTGCTCAGCCATATTCATCACTGCTCTCTTTAGAACAACCAGAAATTGGAAACAGCCTAGATGTCCCTCAAACAGAAAAATGAATAAAGAAAATGTGGTGTGTTAACACAACAAAGTATTAGTTGGCTGTTAAAAAAAGTGAAGTCGTGAAATTTGCAGGAGGCAGAACTAGGAAAGCATCATCCTGAGTAAGGTAACCCAGGCACAGAAAGACAAATACAGTATCTGTCACTCATATGTGGATATAAGCTGTTAAGTCAATGATAACAAAGCTACAATCCACAGAGCCACAGAGGTTACATAGAGTAAGAGACTAGAGAAGGGGGAAGACAGATAAATCTCATTACAAAAAGGAAATACAATACATAGTTATGGATGGGGGAGCTAGAATGGGGATCAAGTGGTGGGGAGGAAAGGGGGATGAAGGAGGAAATACAGGGAAAGATAGCTAAAATTAAGATCCATTTGAGGGGTAGTATGGAAACCTAACACAGTAAGAGCTTCCTGAAACATTAACATATGAAGGCAATCTAAATATAACCTCCAAATCCTGAAGGAGATGAAGCCCCAGCTGGCCATCTTCTGTCACCAAACAAAGCTCCCATTACCAGCACGGGGTTATTTCTAATTAAGTTATTGGCCAAAGGGGTCCCATGGAAACCTCCAAATAACCCAGACTGCTGCCAAGATAATACACCACAAACTGGCAGCAAGGCCCCAATGCTGAAGAAAACATCTATACAACTGCTTGAAAAGGGAGAAGTTGGGCTGGTGCCTACATACAGCCTTCACCAGAATGTTCCACCACTTTTGGTACAGGAAGGTACTCTGCACAGTAGCAAAAGAGAAACATAAACACAAGCCGACCACCAACCCTTTTACCTACAGTGATGTCCTGTCCGCAAGATATACTAGGGCAGCAGTTCTAATCTATGAATTTTGACTCCTTTGGCAAACTTCTATCTCCAAAAATATTTACATTTTATTTTGTAAGAGTAGCAAAATTATAATTATGACATAGCAACAAAAATAATTTTATGGTTGGGGGTCACCATGATATGAGTCACAGCATTAGGAAGGTTGAGCGCCTCTGCAGTAGGGCAATGGTGGCAACGAGCTTGTGGAAGTATCCGAACAATATCTGATTTGACCTAAGACACACTCCATGAGACGGAACCCATACTTGATACTGCTTGGTGGCCAAGAACCTGAGACAAGATAGCCCAGGGACCTAGCGTAAAACCAAACAGTACTGTTCTAAGCAAGTAAGCAAACAACTAGACAAAAAGTAGCAATAAAATGACTACTAATGGCATTCTGCTCTACCCACAGGTCAGTGCCTGCTCAGCCATCACCTCCTGCAGCAGATGGGAATAAATGCAGAGACAGTGCACAGAGAGTGGGAGGCCTTGAAACACTCAGCCATCAACAGGCGTCTACATCAAGTTCCTCCCAGCAGCACCCAGGAAACTCCACAGAACAGGAAGCACAAAGAGTGTAAGAGCCAAGGGGCATGGAGGATGCCGGGAAAACAAGGCCTCTAAACCAACATGAATAAAGTTCACATGACCTTACGAGACTGAAGCCACATGCAGAGTCTACCAGGTCCTTTGCATACACATTACGGCTTCCAGTTTAATGCTTTTATGGGATTCCTGAGTGTGTGAATTAGTTCTCTGGTTCTTGTGCCTTCTCTTGAGCATTTTTTCTTCTGTTTGATTGTTTTAACCAATTGTGATGTGTTAGTTTTTGTTTTATCTTTATATTTATATATATTTTATACATATATATCTATGTATATATATATATATATATTGGTTTTATCAAGACAGGGTTTCTCTGTGTGTAGCCCTTGCTGTCCTGAAACTCACTTTGTAGTCTCAAACTCACAGAGATCTGCCTGCTTTTGCCTCCCAAGTGCTGGAATTGAAGGCATGCACCACACACCTGGCTTATATTTTAATATATTAAAACTTGTTTTTCTAATTAGAAGTTTGTTTGTTTTCTAATGAGCGAGACAGAAGAAGAGTGTATCTGAATGGGAGGAGGGAGGGGAGAACCAGGAGGAATAGAGGGAGAAAATGTGTAATCAGGATATATTATGTGAAAAAAAAAATCTGTTTTCAATAAAGGGGTGGAGGAACTAGCCCTCATTTCAATAATTTTCCCCACCAAATCAAAATCCATCCAAAGAGCTGCAACACAGGATATCCAGATAAGACTTTCTTGCTGAGGCCTTACACCCAAATAAGCAGGCAGGACAGATACTGTGCTCAGTACCACAAGCCTCCAGAGCCCATTTGTACCCACCTGTAGCGCGTCAGCTGGGTATCTCAATGGGATTCTGCCCCTAGATGCAGCCCTCCTGCCGGCTACCCTTTACTCCCCCTCAAGCTTTGTGTGCAAGCAGTCTTTGAATGTGCCACACTCTAGTTCATCCTTTAAGTCACACTTTTCCAATAACAGCTCTTTCTTTAGTGCCCAATCTGTTTCCCATCATGCAAGTATCTGTGTCGATCCAGGCTTTGCAACGAAGTTTTCCTTCAAAATTGTGTTTTCCAAACTGAAAGCTTAACTGCAACCTATCACTGGGCATACACTCTATTTTAGAAAAGCCACCATATGTTCTCTTGTATCTCTGTAGTGTGTGTGTGTGTGTGTATGTGTGTGTGTGTGTGTGTGTGTGTGTATTTGTGTTCACTTTTGTGCGGGTGCCAGATGTCTTCTCTAACCACTGTCTATCTCCTGACACTGGCTCATCTCTCACTGAAATGAGTAGCTATTGGACTAAGATGTCATGACAGGAGCTCCAGGCATCTGTATGCCCAGCTCCCCAGTGCTGCTTACAGATGCACACTGCTGCACACAGCTTTTTTTGGGCCCTGGGGATCCAAGCTTAGGTCTTCACGTTTGCATGGCAAGCAACTGAGCCATTTCACCAAGCCTAATATGTTTCTTTCCATGTATTTCAGGTCAATAAATCTGAATTATACATTATCTACTGGAAAAGAGAAGTTCTGGGATTTAAAGACCCTAGTGGTAGTTGTTATTTTAAATCAATGCCATTAAATATACTAACAAGATTTCACATCAAAATTCCTCTTAGGACTATCTAATGTTTTCCTATGTAGAGCCAGCACTGGGAGTTGGGCAAGACTACCTTTCGAAGGCATTGGAGACCTTAAGGAAAGTTTGAAACACGGTGTAGTATGTCACAGATATTCACCCCATCTCTTCAGTTCTGTCAACTTGAATCACAGTGTTTTAAGTTATCTACAGATTTTAACAAACATGAAAGCAAATGCAGGTCACCTGAGTTTTATATCCTTCAATGAGGGTTTTCTGTCGTTTTTCTACTTCTTGCAGTTCTACAAGTTTATTTTCAACAGAAGAAACTTCATCCTTCAAGGCATCAAGCGTACTCTAGAAAGAAATATGTGACTGATGGGGTTTCCGGTCGTCAGAACATTGCAGTCTCTGCTGAAGAAGTACTAACGCATACCTCACTCATCAACAGCAACAGAGTAATCATTGGATGGTATGTAATTGACACCTAAAATTAATGACTAATACTCATTAATAAATTTAATCAGTGTGAAGGACAGGTTATTTTAATTATTGACAAAAAGAGCTGAAAATAACCTGCGTTCTAAATAAAAAGAATCACTACTGTTGCCATGTCAGGTTTTCCACATTCGTTTAACATTACTTTTCATTCTCAACCGAAAGTGTAACAGTTGCAGAGAATATGACAAATTAATTCAAAACTCAGATAACAGCTGGGCATGATGGCACACGACTAAAAGCCCTGTACTTATAAAACAGAGACAGGGGATTGTTGCAAGGTCTAAGCCCGCTGAGGCTACTTAATAAAACCCAGTACCAAACCAAAACTGTAATAAAAAGCACCTCACTAGGGAGAATAAATAGGATTTTATAATTCATACTAAGTGAACAATACCTGTCCTTACTGGATGTTGAAATGTATAAAGAGTTAAGCTGTCAATATACCATGAACATAGAAGACAGCAGAAAAGGAAAAGAAAGATGCACACGTAGAATATGGTCGGCACTGGGTTTTAAACCAGTAGGGAAAACACAGGCCATAAATAACCTTGAATAAACAGCAGCCATTAGGGCAACAGTATAAGCACCTGCCTCAGCCCACTGCTGAAGAAGCATCAAATGAATTAAATGTTTTCATCTATAAAAATATGAAAGAAGATCCAGAAAAAAACTCCATGTGGTTTTAGAGCAGCACAAACTCTACTGAGATGCTAAGACTTGCAAGGATAGTCTCCCTGGGCATGCACCAGTTAGCCTACCACAGTTTCAGAGATGCTAGCAGAAGGTACAGACCGGGTCAGGGGCAAAGGATGTGCTTACCCACAGCAGTAGCAGCAAAATCATAAGCATTGTGTCAATTTCCTGAGGCACATCCTCACTAAGTAGCTGATGACAACTACCTATGGATTGGGATGTATTAGAAGAAGGCAAAGTTGAGTTTTAAAACTCAAGTATCTCATAATAGGCAGAGAACACGCCTGTTCTTTGCATGAAAGAAAACTACTGCTATCTTCTAAGGATGTTGTCCTCCTTAGCCTTAACCATTAACAGAGTCTACATCACTGAGGAACTGCCTACCTCAGGCTAGCCTGTGGGAACATCTGTGAAGGATTATCTTGATTACTAATTGATGAAGGAGTGACCAGGCTAGCCCACTCTGAGCAGAATCATTCCCCAGGCAAGTGGCTCTGGGCTGTATTAATTTTTTTATTTAATCCACAAAAGCAGAGACTGAAAGCAAAGTATCAGTCCAGGTCAATAACTCATTAGTACAACTAGCAAAGCAGCCTGGACTCAAGAAAATGGAAAGAGAGAGGAGAGACAGCATACCCATATAAATGTGTATGAAATCTTAAGACAGTAAAGATAAGAGAATACTTTGACAATCCAACATAAATTTGAAGTAGCGTTTCCACAGAATAGGAATCAGACTAGCAATAGATTGTTTTCTGTTAACTCTAATTGCAAAAGACACTAAAACAAAGATCACTCTCTTTCCGGGATGTTATATTTACTTGAAGTCAGGCAAATGAAAGCAGAACACATAAAACCTTTTCCATGCTCTTCTTCCTATTTTCTCTTTTTTAAGGTTAAAACTATTTCTTGAAGAATGTATGCTAACAATATGACGGATGCTAAGCTAAACACCACAGGCTCCAGAAAAATGGAAGCCATTACACTACAAGAGACTAGCCCAAAGAGGATGGCCGGGGATGCAGAAGAGCTTCTGCAGAGAACAAAAGTGGAAAATGGGTTCCCAGGACACAACATGAAACAAAACTTCTGGAATTTTCATCTTTTAAGGAAGGAAGCATTTTCTTTTCTTCACATCAGAAACACACTTGTTTCCTTCTCTTGAAATAATTATGATTACTAGATGTTTAAAATTACGTACACATTAAAAAAATTGCAATGGACTTTTTAGGCATTTTTTGATGAGTAAATATAGAAGATATAAATATTATTATCAAAGAGAAGGATTTTTTTTTTTTTTAAAGAAAACTGATGGGATTCCAGACTTTGAATTTCATAACTGTTAAAGTTCCCTCTTGGGGAAAATGGAGTGACATCCAAAACTTTCCTACTTTCTCTAAACTTTTATTTCTGTTTCAAGAACACAAATCTGGGAGAATTTTGTGATAGCGTATTCCATAGTTCAAGCATTCGTTTCTGGTTTTTGTTTTGTGGAGCGGAGAATGGTACCCTCATGCTCAGTCTAGTCCCATCTAGCCACAGGCGAGTCAGTTGTCTAAGAACTCAGGTTTCTTTTTTCTCAGAAAATCTAAAATCTTCCACCCCCATCTCTTCTCTGGGACACATATAAACCAATCCCTCCTTGGACTTGACTCAGTTGGAAATTCTTTCTGGTTATAAAGCAGCCAAGAACATACTTTCTGGTTTCAAACAGACCCAATTTGATGTTGTATTATATGGTAACCATGACACCTACAAATAGTTTTGTGCAGTAAAGCTAATGCAATTTCAGATGATTCACTGCTAAAATTAGAGAGTAAATAAACTTAAAGTTGAGACAAAGACAGAGTTGTTCAACCTCATAAGCTTTGTCCTGCCAAATGCAACTTAAACTTGTTTTAGTGTATGTAACTAAAAACCTTAAAACTTACATAGATGAACATAAACATGGATATGCATGGATACATGCTATATACAGATAGACTTGACAGAGCTAGAAAGTAGCTATCTTAATAATGCAATGTCATGAGAAATAGGAAAGACAAAATGGTACATGAGCATTAGCCAATCTTGCCTTTACTCTACACCACTGCTACCGAGAGCACACACACACAAACATTACCTTTAACTTTTCATTCTCAATATTTAGGGCTTCATTTTCATCTTCAAGTGAGTGAAGTTTTCTAAGAATTTCTTCACATGATTTTTTCCCATGTGTTTCCATTTTCTTCAAGTCTTCTAAAAGATTAGTGATTTGCCTTTATAAAAAAGTGAAAGTATGGAAATTTTCATTCAAATAACAGATTTTAAATATTCTTAAAATTATTCTGGCAGGGTGCACTGGTTAAAATTGAAAAGTACAGCAAGGTAGCAGGACGGATAGAGCAGGGAACAAAAGTGGCTATGCTCAAAACAACCAGGATTAAAAATGATGACACTGTCTGGCCTATCACCCAGAGTATGCATATCTGCCTGTCCCTCACATTCACACATATGCACACACACACACACACAAAAACACACATGGAGACAAGTTCAAAGGAAGGATCAAGCCAGGCGGTGACACCTCATCTTTAATGTTAGTTCTCCATGATAAAGTATAACAGTGAGGAAACAACAAGCAAACATTAGGGTCTGTTATTGTTCCCTTAGCATCAGTGTCAAAGAACAAAATATATGCATTTTTTACTCATTAATTTTCTCTGTTATACACTTTAGTCACTTGGATTAAGGGATAATAATTTTGGGATTTTAAAGCACTTAAGTTATAAACCTTGCTACTTTCATATCCTTGTTTAATTGAGAAATGTCACTTCCATTTAGGACAAAGTAGATGCATAAGAATTATCAGTGATACACACTCAAGCACAAAGCACTAATTGACATGTTTCACCTTTCAAAATGGAATCCCAAAGCACAGTTAAGGAGTGAGCATCTTACTACTGCTCATAGAGAAAGAAGACACATAAGCACGGTTGACCACACCTTTACCACACAGAACCCAGAAAAACCAAAGCATGCAGTCACTTCTCACTAAACAGTGACAGCCCAAATTCTTCCTTACTTTTTCATTGTTTCGATCTGAACTTCCAGTTCAGTTTTTTCTATTGCGATTTTCTCATAATGACTTTTCCAGGTATTGGAAGCTGAAACTGTTTCAGACAACTTGGCTTCCTAAAAATACAAAAACATTCATCTTGTAACTTGTGTGTATGTGTGTATGTTTTAAGTCCTTAGACACAAATACACTGTAGACATGAAACACTCTTCTAGGAAAGCATGCAGTTTCTCTTGTAGAGAAGCTTAGTATGGAGCTTTCCATATAGGAAGACTTTAAAGTAAGCTTTAATAAAAGCTTACTTTTACCTATGTGACTAATACTTTATATTCACATAGTAAAGTTCCAACTTACAATTTTAAGATGCTGATGTGGCTAGTTTTAAGTAATATTTCACAATTAATAAAAATAATTTCTATTTTATTTTTGAATGTATCTTCACTTTCCAGTTTTTATACAAAAGTGCTAACAACCACATACACATAAGAAGAAAGCTTCCCAAGAAATATAGCAACTATTTGCAATTTCATAGCTCCACTGCATGTTGGAATGCAGCCTTGTTTCTTTCCAGAGGTCACTCAACACTGCAGCCTGCCAACACTGCTACTGTCAGCAGAGAGGAGCTTCAGCAGTGGCTAAGCCAATTTGCATGTGAGGCCCACAAAGGAGGATTGTTGTCTGTTTCTTCATCACTGTTTGTAGGGTTTTGAATGGTGCACACCCTCAGTAAATATCAGTGCCTCTCTGCAGATCTACCCACAGAGCTCTAGCCACTGTGGCTTTGTCTACAGTCTACAGAACGACAAACTTACTGGTTATAAGGATGCCATGAATTGGAGAATTCAGAAATAGTTTAGAAAAATACTATTTTCCTCTGTCCTATCATTCATTCATTCATTCATTTATTCACAGAAAAGAATTTATTGGTCATCTAGTATGTATAAGATACTGTCTACATTTTTCACAGCAGTGTTTGTTATACTGAAGACCAGAACCTTATTTCGCATCTTGTGTAAAATAAATTTTAATATAAATATGAGGTAAGAGATGGGTATAACATATATGACAAAGTCAGTTCATATTATAACGCATAATGTGAGATTAGGAGGAAGTAAACTCGTGGAAGAAACGTGTATATTAGACATGTGGAGTCCTCATGTCTTCTTTCACCTGCCCTTATGAAGACTCAAAGCAGGAGCCCCTCATCTTCCACTGCACTGGAACTGCTTCTGAGCTCACTCTCCTGAGGTCTCCTCACTAACACAGACCTTGTAAACCCTCTACATCCTGCCTCTTTGATATCTCTGTGTTGCAATGTGTGTACAGATGCAATAGACCAGATAGGAATTCAATATCATGTTTCAGTGTCGAACTCATTTGTGTTTCACTTGAGGGGGGCTGGAGAGATGGCCCAGAGGTTAAAAACGCTGCTCTTCCAAAGGTCCTGAGTTCAATTCCTAGCAACCACATGATGGCTCATAACCATCTATAGTAAGATCTGGTATGCAGGCAGAATGTTGTATAAATAATAAATAAAACTTAAAAAAAAAAGATACTCTTAAGGAGGAGGAATAATAAAACATGAGGAGGCTCCACCAACCCTATAGCTGACAGAGGACTAATATCCAGTATATATAAAGAACTCAAGAAGTTAAACAGCAACAAATCAAGTAATCCAATTAAAAAATGGAGTACAGAGCTAAACAGAGAATTCTCAATAGAGGAATATCGAATGGCAGAGACACACTTAAAGAAATGTTCAACGTCCTTAGTCATCAGGGAAATGCAAATCAAAACGACCCTAAGATTTCACCTTACCACCATCAGAATGGCCAAGATCAAAACCTCAAGTGACAACACATGCTGGAGAGGTTGTGGAAAAGGGGAACCCTCCTCCACTGCTGCTGGGAATGTAAACTTGTACAACTACTCTGGAAAGCAATCTGGCACTTCCTCAGACAACTAGGAATAGTGTTTCCTCAAGCAAGATCCAGCTATACCACTCCTAGGCATATATTCAAAATATGCTCAAATACATTTGCTCAACCATGTTTTTAGCAGCCCTATTTGTAATAGCCAGAAGCTGGAAACAGCCCAGATGCCTCTCAATGGAGGAATGGATACAGAAATTGTGGTACATCCACACAATGGAATATTACTCAGCAATAAAAAAACAAGGAAATCATGAAATTTGCAGGTAAATGGTGGGATCTGGCAAAGATAATCCTGAGTGAGCTGTCCCAGAAGCAGAAAGACACACACAGTATATACTCACTCATATAGACATATAATATAGGATAAACCTACTAAAATTTGTACACATAAAGAAACTAATCAAGAGGGAGGACTCTTGCTAAAATGCACAATCCCTATCCAGAAAGGCAAAAGGGCTGGACATCAGAAGAAGGAGAAAAAAGGGAACAAGTCAGGAGCCTGACACAGCGGATCTCTGAAAGGCTTTGTCCTGCAGACTATCAATGCAGATGCTGAAACTTATGGCCAACCTTTGGGCCGAGTGCAGGGAATCTTATGAAAGAAGTGGGAAACAGTAAGATCTAGAGAGGACAGGAACTCCACAAGGAGAGCAACAGAACCAAAAAATCTGAGCACAGGGGTCTTTCCTGAGACTGATACTCCAACCAAGTACCATGCATGGAGATAACCTAAGACCCCTGCACAGATGTAGCCCATGGCAGTCCAGTATCCAAGTGGGTTCCATTGTAATAGGAACAGGGACTGTCTCTGACATGAACTGATTGGCCTGTTCTTTAATTACCTCCCCCTGAGGGGGAAGCAGCATTACCAGGCCACAGAAGAAGACAATGCAGCCACTCCTGATGAGACCTAATTGACTAGGATCAGAAGGAAGGAAAAGAAGACCTCCCCTATCAGTGGACTGGGGGAGGGGTATGCATGCAGAGGGTGGAGGAAGGGAGAGATTGGGACAGGAGGGAGGAGAGAGGAAACCACAGGGGGGATACAAAGTGAATAAAGAGTAATTAATAAAGAATGAAAATATATTAAGACATTAATATTGTCAAAGAACAGTCCAGGAAGACCTTCTCTGGAGAAAAGGCAACTGATTAAGAGGGAAAAGAGCTGCTGACCACGAGCAAGAAGAACAATAAATTAAGAGAGCAACCAGCTCCACGCACAGAAGGGAGCAGAGCAGACAGCCCTAAGTGGCCCCATCTGTTTGTCATGCTCCTGAGTCACTTGAGGTAAGTGGGGTTCTTACCCCTTGCTCAGGAAGTAGAGGGCCAGAGAGGCTAAGTGCCTTCATAAAGCCACAAGGGTTCACCAGTGCAGGAGTCCTTCCAAAGTGGCAGGGGACTCTGCTGACGCTAACATGGTGGAAAAAGCTGAAGAGCGGCAGTGCCAGGGCTAGTGCCCACCACTCCAAGCATCTGGGTATTCAGCCAGGATACAACCTCACAGACACTGAGCCTAGTCTTTAACTCCGATGGCTACTTATACACAAATGAATGTAAGTCAAATATTAGAGCCTTAAAATGGTAACATTTGAGCTTATAAAATATTAACTTTTGTTTTATAAGCTTTTATACAAGTCTGTTTTCATTTCCAAGAGCCACTAATAAATCTATAAGCCTCAGCATATGTTTTTAAGAGGTGGGATACTAGTGAGACACAGAAGCAATGAATATAATATTGGTTGGCAATTGAATAAAAATAACAATTTGTCAAGAACAAAGCACTAAGTCCATTTTTTCAGCTCTGTGTTATACTCCAAGATATCTTTCACATGTTTTGTTTACGTCAGCATATGGTTTCAAATGCATTACAGAGGTTAAATGAAGTAAACTACTGAATAAAGTCATATGGTCTAATAACATAAATCAGCATTTCCCAAACGCATGTTTCTCAGAACCATTTCCAAGAGTCGCTTTGTGGCACAAGAAGAGTTCTGAGGTTAAGTGTGGGAAACTCTTATTTCCACGTCCTCATTACTGCATTCTGAAGCCCTTCTCAGGGCCTTAATATGTTAATATACACTGTAACTTTCCAGAGGGCAAGATGGAGGAAGCCTGGCCATAAAAGTGTGTGTGTGTGTGTGTGTGTGTGTGTGTGTGTGTGTGTGTGTGTGT